CTTGTGGCTATTCTTCAGGGACAGCTCTTCACACTGTATTGATTTCTTTATGTAGAGGGCAACGCCTCCACCCCTCCTTCCTCGCCTGTCCCTTCTGAAGAGCCTGTAGCCATCAATAGCCACATTCCAGCCGTGGGATTCGTCCCACCAGGTTTTGGTTATGGCAATCAGGTCATAGCTATCTAGTAGCACAGCAGCTTCCAGCTCCTCCTGTTTGTTCCCCATGCTGCGTGCGTTTGTGTAGAGGCATTTCATCTGGGCTCTTGGCCATGTCACCTTCTTAGTGGAACATCCCTTGTTTCCCTCGGGGTGTTTCACGAAGGTTTCCTTGTGACCTCTAACTATCTCAGGAGCCCCCAGCTCATCTCTGCCGGACTTCAGCTGTGCTGCAGTGTCCCCATCATGCCTCTGCACAATAGGTTGAGGGCTCACAGTAGCACGCCGTCCCTCTAACCATTGCGCACCATCCCACAGCTTGTCACAGGGCAGCCTGGTACGTTCCCCCTCCCCCTTCACATTTACCACAGTACTGCCTGCTTACACACATGAACATGGGGTAGTGCTATTTTATCAATGTCAGCTTGTTTTCTCGTCCTTCATATGCACTACTAGTCAAGAATATTTTTTTTCTTTGTCTGTTGGGATTGTTTCTTATACTGCTTCACTATTAAACCCAGATTCCTGTGGCCTGGGTTGCACATAAGTTTGTGTGTGGAGGCAGCTCTTCTGGAGGTCACTCTTGCTGCCACAGTGCTCCCACCATCCTAAAGGGCTAATGTGAAGGGAATGATACCTTGGTTGTGGAGGGTGGAAGCAGAGGGAATAGGGAGATCTCCTGTGATCAGCCCAGAGGTACTAGATTCTCCCAGAGTCTCGGAGTGGTGCTGCCCTGCAGTGGTTGCAGGGGGAGATTCCCCAGCAGGGATCAATGGGCTGGGCTCTGACTGTGCAGGAGGCTCAAAATCAGGTGGGAGTAAACCTTAGGAGAGCAGATGCCAGGCAGGGAGCCCAGAGGAATGTGAATGTCTGTGCCTGCCTCCTACCCAAACTTAGAAAGTCCTGTGGTTTAAGTGTGGAGGCAGTCAGAACTGATGGGCTAGCTGATTTCTGGACTGAGTCTGAACAAAACCTGTGCAGCAGGAGTGTGGGCAAAGAGACTGAGCTATCCCAGCGTGCATGTGCTGGGCTGTGAGGCGAACTCAGACAAACAGTTTGACTTCTTTTCTGCAAGGTGACTCTGATGACGCAGCTCCCTCAAGCTCCAGTGTCCTTTCTTCTACCCCACCTTCTGTGTCTCCGGCTGTGAAAGAAGCCTCCCCCACACCACCTTCCTCACCGTCTGTCACAGGCAGCTTCTCATCCTCAAGGTAAAGTATGTTTTGTCTCCTGACAGCTCTCTTGGCTGTCTTATCTGACATATACATGAGGAAAACTCTTCTAAAGGGAAACTCATAGCTCTGCTTTCTTCCTCCCTAGCAAACACTTGAAGTTGTCACCTTTCCCCTTCACCTCTTTTGCCTCTGGAGTGACTGTGTCCTTGCTGGCCGACAAGGAGCTGGGGAGGGCAGAGGGGATCTTGCACCTGATGCGAAGGCTGCATTTCTCAAGGGCAGACACATTTGAACTAGAAGGGGCAGCCTTGTTACTGATAGTCTGGCAGAAACCCTGATTCTGATGAGCCATTGTGGCAGCCTCTTTGGGAAGGTTTGTGTTCTCCATCTGCTGGTATTTTCCCTTTGAGACTGGATTCTCTTGGGGAGGTATGTAGCCAAAGAAAATACTGACCCTAATACACGTGGGTGGTAGCCTAATCCCTCACGATTCTTATGTTTTTAAGGACCAAGCGAATGTAAGGTTCGAGTGACTCTGTGGAAGGAGCAGGTTTTTTCTCTGTGAGGGGACAGCTGACAGTTGTAAGGTGGCATAGTGGAAATGCAGTTCCCATTCATGTGTGTGCCTACAGGAGACAGCACCTGTAGGCAACATGAAGCTCTGGCTGAAATTTTTAGGGGTGAAGGGAGGAAACCCCTAGAAAACTGGCAGTAAAGAATTGCCCTGGCCAGGACTCTTATTTTGTTGCTGTACAAAGTGTTGGTATAGCTGTCTAACAGTTTGTGTGCAGTTCTGGTACCCAGAAGCACATGGTGAAGTTAAAGGTTCAGGAGAGTTGACAAGATCAAGGGGACAGAGCAGCAGCCTTGTGAGGGGAGACTAAAGGGTGCTTGGGATCTGTGGTTTGGGGGAGGAGGGAAAAGAGGTAAGCCACCCGAGTTTTGCAAAATCACAGTGGTGGTGGGTTTGTTGAGATTGAACTGTTGTTCACCAAGACAGTTGGTACAAGACCTGGGGGCACGCAGTGACACTGGCAAAAGGTCAGTTAAAAGGGAGACAGGAAGGGACTTCCGCACACAGCAGGAAAGGCATATTGGGACCATGCCTGCCTCTGCTACTTCTGTGGCAAAAGGATCAGCAGATCAAAGACGGGTTAGGCAAATTCACGGACAGAAGATCCACTAATGGATACTAAAGGATGATTCGGAGATGTCCCCTCTAACATCCCTAATCCTGTGATTGTCAGGCTGGGGAAGTCCAAAGGAATGCTCTGCAGTTAGAGACTGGGCTCGCGTGCTCTCCCTCAGCAGTGTCTCCTACTGTCCCTGTTGGAGACAGAAGGGGGACCTTTCCTGCCCACCCTAGAGAGCCCTGCAGGGGCTTTAACCTCTGGCTTCTTAAACTGGCTTGCGAGTTCCCTTTTAACAAGAGGAAATGGAAATGTGAAAGTCCCAGTTTAGCAGGTGCCCAGCAACTGGAAGGTGTTAGTGGCTGTTAGCCTGTGCAGGAGGCCCAGTTCCCCGAGTCCCTCCTGTTGGCCCCCTGTGGTTTGGTGGCAGGAGAGTCTTGTCTGCCCCAGGCTGGTCCCAACAGCAGTTGGTTGGCAGTGGAGAGAGCTGGGGGCTGTACAGGCTCTGGAGAGCAGAGCTGACTTCTCATGTGTGGGCTTTCCAAAGGTGGAAGTGGTTTGGGAACCTGTACCCGCAAGGGTGTAGGCTATTAAAGTTGTGAGCCATGGATGTGATATATCTGAAGTTGACACCTGGCTCTAGGAAGCCAGTACTTTTTTGGTTTCATGCTGTATGGTAAAATCATCAAGAAATGAGGAAGTTTAGGTTCAACATTGTTCCATCTTCAGTGATCTGTATGTGACAACACAGGGGGTGGAGGGTGACCCAGACTGCAAGATTAAGCCACATGTTTAACCAGGAATGGAACACAAAATCCTGCCTGGGCATAGAGAACATTAGGATGCTTTGTCATTACAACTGAGATGAGAAATGTGATGCAATGGAGCCTTAAAATCCAAAGCTGCATCTCCAAAACATCATCCTTAAAGAATCTCACTTTTGAAATTGCCCTCAGAACCCAAAACTTGGTTTTGGTCATCAAAGATGAACTCTGCTTTGTGGTCTGGCTTTCAGCTGAATAAATGGCAAAGGGAATTATTTGCTGAGAGGACCTTAACGATGGACCATCCTTGTTTTACCTTGAGAGTTTCTTATTAGACAGGTGGTCTAGAGGGATGCGTATTTCATTCAAGATGACAGATTCATCTTCCTTAACAATTGCCATTTCTCAAACAGGGGACACGCAGACTGGTAGATAAATTCAGTTAGTTTTTTGTCTAGTACTTGCATATTGTTCAACACTGTCATTGTGTAGGAAGGGGCATAGGCTGTCAACTGTGGGTCTGCTGAATGATAAACCCCTGCTCCACTCAGGGTTAGCTAGGCAAGAGGCAGGGGCAGACAAGGGGTGGAATTTCCCAGGCTGCTCATCTTCCCTTTTCTGGCTCAAGAAAGACTGGCAGTGTGTTTTGATGATGCATGTCTGTTACCGCATGATGCACGGGAGTTTTCAACAGCAGGTCATATTCTGAAATCTGCTGTTGTTTAGCAAATATCATAGGACTAGCAGAGCATTCTTCCAGCACAGGAATTCCCTAGCCCACAGCAGGGCCGTGGGGTGGATCACCCAGTGCCAACTCCACTACAGGGACCTGGGGAGAGCAGAGATCCTGTGTGACCTGGTGGAACATCTGGACAGGAAGGAAGCAGCTGGTGGCGGGAAAAGCCACCAGCTTTTGGACGTAGAAGTTGGAAGCAGTCAGGGAGGCTGGGAACTGAGTGCCGAACGTTCAGGGAGCCACCAGCTCTTTGTTCGCCCCAGTTCAGAGATGATTTTGGCAGTGCTGTGCCAGGCTGGAGTCAGTAACTCATCAGTGCTCAAGAGGCAGCAGCAAGGTGCTTACAGCCCCTCTTCCCCACTAACAACTGGGAGTGATCTTGGCCACCTCAGGGGTTGCCTTTTCTGGCTGGGTCACTGAACTCGGCGTCACACTAGGAAACTGCTTGTCTGCTCCCTTTCCCCCTGCTTGGCTGTGCAGCAGGTCAGCTTGTCTCAGCTCATTGCAGTTCTGTGCTGCCAGGCTGATGCCAGCATGTAACATGACCCAGACTGCATCACTGAGTGATGACTTGTGCTTTTGTGATTATTGGGTCTCACTATGAAATGTTGCTGCCTGATTTCCCAAAGAACCAGGCGCTTGTCCTCTGACCATCTGGTCAGGAACGGCAGCCACTCTGACAAAACACAGGTGGGAGGAACTCTGCTGAGTGCTGTGCAGAAATTACCTTCTTCTCTTGTTTTCCAGCCAGAGCCTCGGTGCTGAGTTGATGGGCCTGCAGGTGGATTACTGGATTGCAGCTCCACCCATGGACAGAAAGAGAGACCCGGAGAAGAAGGACCCCTCCACTACCAAAAACACACTGAAATGCACTTTCCGGTCTCTCCAGGTCAGCAGGTTACCGGCCAGCGGTGAGATTGCCACCACTCCAACGATGTCCATGACAGTCGTGACAAAAGAGAAGAATAAGAAAGGTAAGGTGGACACATTTAACTGTTGCCAAAGGCCAAGGACGCAATGCTGCTCTCCCTGTTCTGCTGCTCCAGGGCTGCCTGACTTGTCAGTCCTGCATTACAGCACCTTAGTCATATTTTTATCCCCAAAATCCTAGTCTGTCTGTAGATGAGAAGTGACTGCATAAGGTGATAAGAGTTTGAAAGGGTGATTCCTCTTTGTGCTGTAAAAAGGGGATGTGTTCACACTTACAGCTGAACAGCTGAGACGGTATAGCCCAAAAGAACAAAGATGAGGACAGAGCAAGGACATTTGTGGGTGCCTGTGCAGAAAGCCAGGAGGTATGCTGCTCTGGACAGCTTCCCTGTGTTCCTTGCGAGCCTGCTGGTGCTGTTTTGGGGTGTTGGATTAGGTAAGAGGCAGCTTGTGCCCTGACCACCAGAATCAGGGCAGACCCTGCAGCCTGTACAGCTCTGTGCTCTGGTCTCTCCTCTGCCACGTGACAGGTGCAGACAGAGGCAGGATGTGTGTGCATCCCATCATGTTGCAGCATGACGTTTTGCTGGATTTGATGTGGTGTCCTCATGTTAAAATACCACTGTCACAGCCAGACAAACGCACCAGCCAGACCTGCCAAACCATTGCTGGGTGTGCATGTAGATACAAGAGGTCTTGTCACTCAGAGCAGTGTTGTGGCAATGTAAGCTCTTCTACAGGAGCTCTTACGCTCTTGCAGAGTGCTTTGTGGGACAAAAGGACGTAGAAGATAAATGCTTTCAGTGCAAAGCCTGATGTTAAGTTTTTCTTGTTTAATCTTCTGCTCTTAAAATCATGGCTTTGAGTTTATTTTCTCCAAACAAACAAAAAAGGCATTTTAAATATTGTCAGTAATTCTGTGTTTGCTCCTGGCCTTGGTAATGTGAAACATCAGAAATTCAGAACAGCTCTGGGGAAAAGTGTTTTCAAGGAAGCAGCAAGGCAGTGCTGCATTTATATTCAACAGCCAATAGCTGTCCTTCACGACATCTTCCTGCCCATGGGCCTGGGAGTCATTCCTGGTGGAAGCAGGGGTTTGGGGGGGCTCTGAGGGAAGGCCAGCAGAGCCTTCTGGACCTGTGGCTGCGGGACACGGGTGCATAACTCTGCAGGCAGGTCACTACTGGGCCAGCATATAGCTGTGGCACTGCTGGTACCAGTGCTCCGATCCCTGACCATACCCTTTCTAAGTGGCATGCCTACAGGAGAAGCAATGCTGAGACACTGAAAATATTCTTCACTGGGGCTGGCCCAGCCTGGAGCAGTGGTGTTCAACACCACCAGCTTTTGTGGAGCCAGTTTGTATATCTTTGCTCATGCATTTGGACAGTTCTCAGGGAACTGGACCCTTTTTAGCTCTCCTAATGCCTTCCCTCTCCACCAATTGCCCATAGTTTGTAGTCCCCCCTCAGCCCAGCTCATGTTGGGGAGCTGTTAGTGCAGCAAACCTGCCTGCAGAAACATCGGAGGCTGGAGCGCAGTGCCCTCCGGTAGCCATATGCAGTATGGGGGACTCCCCCTAGGTGGTGTGGCCGCCTGGCAGATCCTGTCAGCCCAGCACAGGGTGCAGGCTGGGGGCCACTACAGGTGCAGCTGTTTTGCCTGGTGTCCCAGCGGAGCAGCAGGAGTTAACCCTGAAGGTGCCTTTTGAGGCCTGGGTTATGAGCTAGGAATGCTTCATGTAGGGAGGGACACTTAGGGCTAAGATGTGTGTATGCATAGGTGATGGTGCTGAGCACTGACACAGTCAAATTCCTGCCAAACAGTGATGACCTTAGGAGTTAAAATTAGAGTTAGAAATTTCAGACATGAATGTTTAAATGCAAAAACCCAGACAAGTCTTGGTGCAGCTCCTGTGAGTGGCAGAGATTCACTGTTTGCTGGTTTGATTTTCTTCCAGTGATGTTTTTGCCCAAGAAAACAAAAGACAAGGAAGTTGAGTCAAAGAGCCAGTGTATTGAAGGAATCAGCAGGTTGATTTGCACAGCGAAACATCAGCAGAACATGCTGCGTGGTAAGTGCAGCACTTGCATCCCATCGGGCTCTGGGGCGAGGCTCAGCTGCTAGTTGTGTCCTCCACGCAAAGGGCTGACCTGGTGTCCTGCCCCATGCCCTGGAGCCAACTTAATGGGGTTGTTCCTGGGAAAAGGCCTTGAATGTGTCCAGCATGGGGGAATGCTTTAACAGGTCTGGGATGTGGGAAGATCCTCCCTTACCTAGGAACTCCTCCAAATCAGTGCCCTGGATGAGGACAAGGGCTGGGCCAGGCTCCATTCCCCTCCCTGTCATTCTCTGTTTCCCTTGCACATCTGGAAAGTGATGGAGGAGGGCGGTGAGAGTGTGGCTGCTCCTGTAGGCAGGCCTGTGGCACAAAGGCACGCCACAGCAAGAGCCATACATGCATCTTACATGCATCTTGCAGGCAGACCTGCTGTGGCTGTCAGTGGAGCTGTGCATCCAGTAATCCCTGTAGCCTATTCAGTTGATAATCCCCACCACTGTTAACAGCAGAGCGATCTGCTTAGGTCACCTCCTTAATCCTGGTCTAGTCCCTGTGAGACTGGTGAGGGTGAGGAGTGGTCACAGAACCTGTGTCACCTCTTTAGGAGACGTGGATCTCCTCGTTAAGAGTGCCAGTGAGGAGAGACTGATGTCCATCTCTGTAAGAGTGCATTTGCCCAAAAAAGAAAATGAAGTGTGCTTAGGAAATTCGAGAAATCGGATCAGGTGACACTGAAATCAGCAGTCTGGGGAGCTCCAGTGTCAGTGAATGATGCTGGAACAACAGTCTCAGCTGTTCTCCCTAAACCTGCTATGCTCTTAAGCCTGTCTCCCCTGTGTGTGCAGCTGTTTACAGCTGTGGGGTGGCCAGGCAGAGCAGTGCATACCCTGAGCACAGAACGTGGCTAGGCCTCCCTCTGCCAACTGCAGGGAGGTTTCTAGCAAAGCTGTTTCAGGCTGGCCACTTCCACTCGGTATTTTCTAACTTTCCTCTCTTTTTACCCTCCCCTGCAGTCCTGATTGATGGGGTGGAGTGGAACGACGTCAAGTTCTTTCAGCTGGCAGCACAGTGGTCCTCTCATGTCAAGCACTTTCCCATCTGCATATTTGGACACTCCAAATCTAACTTCTAGCCATGCTCGGCGGAGGGACCTTCTGTCCGTCCCGGGACTGCACACCAGGAGCCAGGAATTGCGTGCCAACTCTGACTCGCGTCGCTCTGCCCTCTCCTGCAGAATTAATTACAGATGTGCTTGGATTACTTTTGAATTACTTTTTTCTATTAACTCTTCAGTTTACTACAAGGGAAGGAAACCCTGTTAAACAAAGGCAAAAAACCCCAGTCTTAAATATAGATGTGCTGACATGAAGTTGTGGGGGAGTTGGCAGGAGCAGGCAACCTGCCCAAGAACACCTACCACTTACGAGCAGATAGCTGAATAACTGCACTGCTTATTAACCTGAGACCTCATTGGTATGAGTGGGCTGAGGGAGCCGTGGATCAGCTTGAACGGATTTTGTGGAAGATCGTGTGCATTACCGTGCATTTGGCCCCCTCCCTCTGTATTTCTAGGAAAAAAAGATGGCCAGTCTTTCTTCCTGCTGCCAAAGGACGAGAGATCAGCGAGTCTGGAGGGAGTTCAACTGTCGGGTTTGAAAAACAAACCACTTACATAGCTAGGGAGGTCTGGAGAGGAGATCCCCTTCAGAGCATGGAGTCTACCATAGGGACAGGCAGGTGTTTGTGCTGAAGCGGTGCCTGAGGAGGGTTGGGCAGGAACAGGAATTGGGGAAACACTAGGTGTAAGGAAACTCCAGTGTCCCAGGTCTGTGACAATGACCAAACTGAGCCAGTCACAATGTCCCTGCAGCTGGCTGTGCTGCTGAGGGACGCCGCGTCAGTGGGGTCGCTGCTATTTACATCCTCACCCCGATTATTTACCTGTCAATAAAACCTCACCCAGCCTCTAAAGGGAAAGGATTTTTTTTTAACAGCTGCAGATTTTTTTTAATGCTTTCTTAAAAAAAAAATAAAATAAAAAACAAAAAATAAGAGGAAAAAAAATGAAGTTGCCAAAAAAAAAAAAAACCCAGGAAGATGAGCCGTTGTCTGTGAAGTGATACATCACTGTAGTGGCTGGACTGGGAGCCAGCCAGGCGCTCTGCGTGTCCAGCTGCCTTCCTGTCCATCTGTCAAACCGCACACGTGGGGTAGCATGGGCTGCTTTATCTGCTCTGCCTTTGTCCTGCCCTGACCGCACTGTGCTCCCCAGAGGCTGCTGCTGTCTCCCTCATGCACCTCCCCAGGCTGGGTGCAGGCTGCCTGGCTTCAGGGCCACTGCAGGAGTGCTTTTTCGCCATGCCCTTGAACCACCCAAGGCCTCTCCTCATGGGGACTGAGAGACTGTAACAAAAATGAAGGGTGCTGGGGGTAGGCAGCCTCCCGCGGGCTGCCCTACAGATGGCTGTTGTCTTTACTGTCTGCTTTCTTGAGTATTCCTCCCCACAGGCGTTTCTCTATGGATTGCATTCCTTCCCCAACAGGATATGCTTTTGCCCTGGCACAGCATTGCCTGTGGGTTGAGGCTTTGCCTAGGGGTTTCAGTCCCAAGGTGCAGTGGAAGCTGTAGCTGGGATGTGAGAGAGGATGAAGCCAGACAGGTTCTCTGTCCACCTCGGGCAGCAAGATGACCTGGGAGATGGAGGAGTGAGATTTTTCGGTGTCTTGCACTGTTGGCTTGGCTCCGGCTGTGCTTGCGTTCACTTTGTACACCTTACTGCTGCCAGGAATGCTTGGGGTGCCAGGACAAGGGGATGCTCTTGCAAGGAGGCAGCATGACAAGCCACAAGTCTGGGCGGCTCCTGGTGCTGCAGATGTGGCCTTTTGCTCTTCAGGCTTCCCGAGGTGTGCCTTGGGAGGAACTTGGAGCAGGTGGCAGATGGGGTTTGGGGAGCTGAGTGTGCTTGCCATGTGGAAGAAAGATATCTCTGGCATCTCAGGGTAAGGGACTGAAGGTTTTGATGGGGTACTTTTGGGTCCCTCCCTTGTGGGCAGGCCAGGCTCTGTGAGCATTTCCAGAAGGCACTTTCTGAGGGCACTGATGCTTTTGAAACTTTTTTTTTTTTGTGTCTGCTCCCTTACCCTTGGGTTTTTAAAGGCTTGGGGAACCCACTTTACCCTGCTGGCAGGTCCTGCTCTGCGCTGGGACCACCTGGGTTCTTTTGGGTAGGGCAGTGGTGGTGTACTCTGTTAGGCCTTCTCCTGCTGATGGGGAGCGAGGGGTTATTAAGCGAGAGTGTGGTCCCTGCTGGATCTAGTGCCTGTTGCAGCTCACAGCATGGGCTGCTTCACCGACACTGATTTCATGAAACCCTTTCCCAGCACAAGTGCAACCTACTTGGCCAGGAATTGGGTATTCCCTTCAAACCACGCAGGGGAGGAGGACATGGTCCCACGCCCGGTGGCACACTGCTGGGCAGGACATATTGTGTAGTTGCAGTACTCTCTTTCTTCCCGCAGTCCCGCGGGCAGGTCTGCCTGCTGTCTGCTAGCTCTTGGCTGTGGCAGCAGCTCGGCTGTAGTTCGAATGTCATCGTGTCCATCAGTTCATGCGTTTTTGGTTGACCTGAGCTGATGCTCTGGGACTGTATAGTGTTGCCTAGCAGCGGTAGCGTGGGAGATCGTGTATAAGCACATCACTTCTTTTTCTTTATTGAGGCTGTTGCATCCAAAAAAAAAAAAAAAGCTTTTTAAAGGAAATCAGTCAGTGTGTGATTTCTTCCTCAAGTCTCGCGCTGGTGTGACAAGGGTGATTGGGCTGGGTTCCAGCATCAGGAGCCGCACGCAGCCTGGGCAGCTCTCAGTGCCGGAGCGTGTTAGTGCTGCAGAAGTGGGGTGGACTGACCGACTGCAATAACTTTGTTTGCTCGGGGGGTGAGGGGGAAGCCATCACTGCACTCCTCTTTGTATTTCAACCTACTGTAAAGAAACAAATGGTAGCTAGGACAGGATTTCCAGGGTCCTGCCTGTCAAATGTGTGTTGCCCTGTTCTACTGTGTGCGCGTGTGTGTGTACATGTGAGAGAAACACTTCTGCTCGTTGCATTTCATGTTGGTTTGTGTTTTGTTCTAACTTTATACAAGTGAATTCACCAGGAAGCTCTCTGTACGCCTGAGATTTGAGGGCTTGCGTCTCCACGGGGTTTCTCCCCTGTGGAAAGCTGCTGGTGCTCTGAAATGCCTCTTCCATGCAAGGAAACATCCCGGCTTCTCAGCCTTGTCCTCCCAGAGTCCAGCAGCGGCAGGCTGGGCCTGCCCGCAGGCAGCTGTGTGCCCAGGGGGTGGCTGTGGTGTTTCCCAGCCTTGGAGGCAAGGGCTGGCATGTGAGTTTGGTGGTGCTGCTCCGGTCAGGGTGTCGTGCCTCTGTTGTTTCTCTTGTATCATGTGGAGCCATTTTGTGCAGCTGTTTCTATCCCTGACTGGAGGAGAAATGTGTTTCTGTTTCGGGAAAATGAGTGTCAAAGCATGTGCGTGGCTCAGACCATTTTGGGAAGGGGCTTTGCACCTGGTGACATGAATGAGTGACTGATCTTGGGTCTCCCACCCTCCCAGCTTCCCCAGCAGTTTCCTGGGGGACCCTACGACGAGTAAGCCCCGTCGGCCAGAGGGATCCCTGCTGTGGGGCCAGGGAGAGCTGCCGGGGCAGCGATGGGCCCGTGCCTGCAGAGCTGCGCCAGCCTGGTGGGGTTAGGTGGTTGCATGCAAGTTGGTGAGTGCCGAAGGATGGCTTAGAGCAGAGACGGCACCGCTGCGTTCAGCTCTTGAGAGTTGTGGCGAGGAACGTGCAACTTGAACAAAGAAACGCAGTGGTGTTATCTCACCTGCCTGTGTTTAGACAGGGCTTGCTCTGGAGCCGCACGGTCTGACGACAAAAGCAGGGGCTGGAGCAGGCAGCATCTGAGCCGATTTCTGGCCGGCAGGTGCTTTGAACGCGGTGTCCCCTGGTGTCCCTGTCTCTTTGTATCCCAGAACTTGCCCTTGCTCCCTGCAGACCTTGTATCTCCTGCTTCCCTGGCTGTGGCTTCTCAAAGCAGCTGGTTTCTTTTCCAGCTACTCTTGGGCGAAGGGCCCCTGCCTCGCTCAGAGGTGAGGTCTCGGGAACGAGCTCGCTGCTGTGCTGGGCTGTGCGACGCTGACCTAGTTTAAGAGCGCTGGCGAGCAGATGAAAGATGGAAGGTTTTTGTGGCGTCGTGTTGCACCTTGAGTGCTTCCTGTTCCTCCGGGTTGAGTTTCCTGGAGACAAAGGCCGGACCTCAGCCTTGCCAGCGTTCAGTCCGGGCTGGCTCTCCTGCGGCACTGGCGACTTCGTGGACATCTTGGGCAGCTGTTTTAGCTCAGTGCTGCAGTTTCCATCCAGTTCAATTGTTACCGGATACATCTCAGCGGTAACTGCAGAGTCCTCCTTAATTACAAATGAGTTTGGGGAGAGCCACTGTCTCCTTGGCTGTATTTTGCTGCTTTAATTAGCACGCGCTTGTGGCTTTATCCTGCAGAGAGGGCAGGGGTAGGCAGCTGCGAGGTTTGTGGGGCTGGAGGAGATGTGCCTGTTTGCTTTCCATCATCAAACTCAGCTGAGAACCACACTGCCCTGTGCTTAACCTGCGATTGTTAAAGCGTGTGCTGGAGGGAGCAGTGGAGCGCCGGGGTGGAGGGCATTGCACCTGGCACCCCCAAGTTTAATTAGAAACTCCTGGTGAGAGGCAGCAGAGCCGGTGACTGCCTCCTGCTGCTTGATGTGCCAAGGGGTTGGGAAGGCTGGGATTAGGGCAGTCCTGCTGTGCAGCGGTAAAGGACTGGGGGCCCTGGAGCGTTCTGGAAGCTAGGTTTGATGCAGGGCCTCTGTCGCCTTTGTTCAGGGGGTCTCAGTCTTGGCAGATAGCTGCGGTGGCATTTAGTGTGACGCTTCCTCTGGGCTTACCTGGCAGGAAGAAGGCCAGAAATGAGCAGCAGCATCTCCCAGAGGTTTCCTGGAGTATCTTCAGCGGAGTTCTCATGGGAGATGCTCCTGGCAGGGCCGGCTCCTGCAGGGTCACTTGGCTGCTTTGGCACAGACTGGGGGAGAAGGGGACGTGCCAACTTGGAAAGCAGCAGGTCACTGGTTTCCTTAAGGAGGAGCACCAGTATGGGTCCACATCCAGTCAGCTGCTGCTTTGCACCTTGGCCAGAGGGTTGCCAGAGCATTGCCTGCCCGGTTGTGTACGTGCCGTGGCCGTGGGGGAGCGCCTTGCGAGTGTGGGTACCGGGGCTGTGTGCTGCCAGCCTTGTCCTGACCGTGGCGTACGAGGGGACGTTACCACTTTGTAGATTCCTGAGTTGTCCATCTGTTTCATTGTTGTATTGTTTGGGTTCTAGGTTTTGGTTGGTTGGTTTGTTTTCTTTTTTTTTAAATGAAGACAGATTAAATGTAAATAGCCTTTTTTTGGAACAAACTGCAACGTGCTCGACCTCGTCAACTATTTTATGGTACTAATGCAACACTAATAAAACTGGACATGAAAGCACACACCCGTCCCTTGAGTCGTCTCTCAGCAGGGGCTGCTCTGGCATGACTGGGGCAGTTGTCTCCAGTAGGAGACAGCAGCATGGCTTTCTGGCGTGGGGGGGAT